CCCCTTTGCTCGACCTGGCCAGTCTCCTTCCCCAGCCAGTAGTGGATGTTGTAGCTGAAGGTGTTCCCAGTCTTGCGCGTCTGCAGGACATAGGTCCGGGCTAGAAGACCTCCCCATGTCCCCAAACCACCCCAGCCAGGGACACCCCTCCCTGTGCCCCAGTTTCCCCCGGAGCAGCGCCCGTCCCCGATCCCCCGTGGGACCTCAGGCCACCATACCGACAGCAGGACGTAGCAATCCCCCTCGTAGAAGTTGCCGTAGCTTTTGGTGGGCACCGGCACCATCTCCATGTTCTGCAGAAGGAAGGGAGATGTCAGCCCTGCCAGGGAACCCCCCGCACCCTCCCCCACCCCAGCCCCAAAACCTGGATGGGTTTAACCCTGGGTGCCGCACTGAATCCCCCAAAACCAGACACCAGACACAAAGGGGGGATCAGGGACCGAGGACACAAAGGGGGGATCATCCCTCCCTCAACCCCCACCCCCCCACCCCAGCCCGGTGATGGGTACCAGGGCGATGGGTGCCCAGGCTGTGTCCCCCATCCCCACCTCGATCCGCCATATCTGAAGGCCCGGCGTGGTCTTGTTGAGCGTCCTGGCGATTTTGGTGCTGAGCTCCACCATGGTGACAGGTGCTGCAGGCAAGGGGACCTGCCAAGGCATCGGCAACTCCCTCGTTAATGGCAGGCGTTGTCATTAAGAGCTGGGACGGAGCCAGCCCGACGTGCCATCTGCCGCCCTGCCCCATCTTCAGCTGGATGGGCCATAAACCCCCTCGTCCGGAGCTGCGTGGGGTAAGGGGACCCCCATCATCCCGGTGCCAGGGCTGTGGGCGCACAAGTGGCGCTACTGTCCCCCTCGGCGTGGTTGCCACCGTGGCTAACGGGGGCTGTCACAGCCAGGGTCCGTGGTAGGCAGGAGCAGAGTCCCCTGAGCACCCCGGTGCCCCGGCGCCCTGCCCTGTGCCCGGGCACGGGGTAGGGCTGTACAGGGCGTCCCCAGAGCAGCAGTGACAGCTGAGTGACACCGCTGCGCGGTGGCCTGTTCCTCCCCAGCGCCAGCAGGAACCGGTCCCACTCAGCCTGCTCCCAGCACGGCTTGGCACAGCATGGCACAGCATGGCATGGCCACCACTGGTGGCCTTGCACACACACACACACACACGTGTGCAAACCCCCACTGCCACTCCTGACCCCACCGCCGGATCTGTGTCCACCAGGGAGGGCACAACCTGTCCCCACAGAGGTGGTGACCATGCCAGGGCTCAGCTCTGGTGCTGCCGAGGTTGCCCACAGCCACCCTGGCCGGGCTGGCAGTGTTCACCCGCAAGTGGGCAGGGGGAGGTCGGGCAGCAGCGTTGGGCAAAGCCCCCCCACGTCCCCATGTGCGTGACCTGGCAGGGAGAGCCAGTGGTGCCCAACGGAGAGGTCTCTGCTCCCCCAGCCCTGCAAACCCTCACCTGGTCCCACCACGTTGCCCCAAAAGCACCCCCATCCCATCCCATCCCATCCCATCCCATCCCGTCCCATCCCATCCCGTCCCATCCCTCAGATCCAGGGCGGGGGGTTGACATTCCCCCCGGCACAGCCCCACGGTGGGGCACAGGTGGGTCCCCAAGCCCCGTTCCCAGGCCACCCCGGTGCCAGGAGCGGTGGTGGCTGTGGAACGTGCTGCTTCCCCCAAGCCCCATGCCCACCTCCCCGTCCCCCTGCCCCAACTCCTCACCTTCCCTGCGGTGCTGGGCACAGGTGAGCGTACCTAGGCAAAGTGCTGTGGTGCCAGCACCCAGCAGACCTTTGTCCCCTCCTGTCCCAGCCTATATTCACCATATAAGGGCAGGAACAGCCCAGAGTCAAGGTCCCCACGGCCCTTCAAGGCTTCACGGCACCTGAAGAGCCCCCGTTACTCACGGGGTAATTGCCCTCCTTCCAGCTGTGCCCAAGGTGGCATCTGCTGCCCTTTCCCAAGCCTGCTTCCCTCTTCGCCCTTGGCACTGAGCCCATGGTGATGGGGTTTATGATGCCACCCCTCCACCCCCCAAAAAAAAAGGTTCCTCAAAGTGATAGCAATAGGCTGAATGAGGCCATGGGTGGTGTCACCCACAAACATGCAGGTGCCCTCATGCTGCAGGGATGGGCTCTGCCGCTGTCCTCCGCACCCTGGTCCCCAAAAGCCCCAAACTCTCCCAGCCATGGAGCGCAACGGCCACGGTGACAGCGTTTTTTTGGTGCCACCAGCTCAGAGTCACCAGCAACACAGCATCATCTTCCTGGGGCACCACTTTCCTATCCCACATCTCCTCCCGTCCCACCCGTTAGCTGGCACATCACTTCCCTGCCCGTGGGACTGTCCCCAGGTGGTGCCACCCCACCCCAGCTGGAAGCCAGATCCCTGCTCGCTACCCGATGGGCTTTGCCTCCCTGCATTAGGGGGGTCTCCACAGCCTTGGGGATGGGAAAGGGGTGCAGGGATGGGGCTGGAGTTTGGGGACACGGGACAGGGCATAGGGTGGTGGCACGGCTAAAGCCGTGTCCCCAAACCCCAGCCCCAACAGGTGGTACCTGATGATACCTTTGCTTTTGGCAGAGAGGAGAAGGGACTGGAGTCCTGCCCAGTGGCTCCCAGCCCCGAAGGTGGTTTTGAGGGACAACCAGGGAGTTGGGAGAGTTGGGGGGAGGTGGGTTCCCAGCAGCAGGCAGGTCCCCGGGCTCCCCTTCCCCTTCTTATCTCTTCCCCAGCCCTGCAGGATTGCTGCAGCCTTATCTCGGCCACCTTGCTGAGCCAGCAGCCAGCCCTCCCCGGGAGCTCCGTGGGCATCCCGCACCCCGGCCGTCACCCCAGCGCCAGGCAGGTGCCCTGATGCCACGGGGATGGGCTCAGCTGTGCTCCACT